CTTCCCACGAATGATTGGCTAATAGATAGAAGCTCATTGGAGGAGAAAGGCATTGCTCTACCTTCGTGCAATCTATACTCCTCTGCATTCTCATCTAGGACCATTCCGGAAACCATCGAGCACATCTTTCTTCAATGTCCAGGTGCAGTCTGGTTATGGCGATGGTGGGATAGGATTTGGAGTTCCTAAAATACCTCTCTGACTTGGCCATGGGACTGGTATGTGGGACATGGTCTCCGGATCAACTAGATGATTTCTCTCATAACTTATTTACAACTGGCAGAAGAGCCATCCTCTGGGCCCTCTGGCAACATCGCTGAACTTTTGAAATGGAGGGAGGCAGGCTGGATGGCCAAGATTTTACTGAGGCAATCAAGTTGCAGGTGCAAACTGTTATCACAGCTCAATGGGACGAAGTTCAAGAAAAAATCCAATTCCTGTCAAATAAAAAAGAAATCCAACAACATATCCAACTATTCAGTGGTGCTTGGCTAGGGGGGGCTCAAGGAGGTAAGATTGGACAGATCAAAGAGAGTGGGGTCAGGAGAGAGAACAGAAAAGAGCAAAGATAAGAAATTTAAGGGGACTGCTGCCTGATATTCCATGATTGGACAAACGTGGACCCAACAGTACCCCTTCTCCCTCTATCAGAGTTCCCAGATCTCTTCCCCCTTTCCTCATTATCTCTGGTCCCATGAGCTGGTTTGGCTGCGAATGAGGAGGATAATGGTTTTGGTATGCTGTAACCAGCTAGTTCATATTGTCTGTTCTGGCGGCCATACAAGGCTGAAGAGGCTGATTACAAAATATGAAGTGGGATGGGATGGGATGGGAGGGTAGCAGAGCTATAGAATGGGCGGTTTCGGTATGATAGGGGAAATAGATGCAAAATCGGAGAGTCTAGAGAGATTGGTCACAGCCAATGCTCAGGTTCTAACTTCCAACACTTTCAAGTTCTCAATTTCTCAACTCTTCTGAAAAGACGATGTATAAGGTTCCAGCAGGTGCACCCCTTCAGATTGTGAGTGGGAAAACATACTGAGGCATCCGGCACAGCATGGACAAGGCAACTTGTGGCAAGCCAGCAGGCTTGCGGTCCAAGTCTGTAGAATAAAGTTCAATAAACCACCAGTTCTTCCTAAAGCCGTGCCCGTTAACAAGCCATAATTTTAGGATACGTAGGGGCCACTACAGGAGCGCCCAAATTCACCTGAGTAGAAATGTTTCTTCCTAGGCTACCAGCCGGACCGCCCGGGTCACCCTTATCCGGGTGGCCCGGCTCTGCAAGGACCAGAGAAGGGCCCAGCCAAAAAAAAAAAAAAAAAAAAAAAAAAAAGCAAAAAAAAAGTTGAAAAAACTATGTTGTGCAGAAAAAGAAACTGAACAGCTTTTGCCTCAGGGTCACATCGAAATTCTTTACCAAATTTAAAATAAAAATTTTAATTCAATTAATTGAAAAATCATTTTTATTTTTTTATTTTTTTATATCTTTTTGGCCCGGCCGGGCAAGTGGACCCAGGCCACTCTATATTTTTTCCCACAGCCGATAGCTGGGCCAAGTACTGGTGATTTAAGGGTCGTTCCCCTCTGGTGGTGGGTGCAAAGTGTCGCAAAAGCGTTATCTTTTCCTTTGGCCTCTCACTCACTCACAGCGAGCGCACAAGGCAGGCAGGTGAGGTGGTGAGCACACAGCAACTCCCACAGCAAGGCACACAGCACAGTATGCACTAGCCTAGGGAGGAGATTGCAAGGCAAGCTCGCAGGCAGGTGGACGGGTGGGCGGGCAGGCACATAAACACAAGTAGGCAAGGAGGAAGTCAAGCAGGATAATTGGCCTTGCTCTACTTGACAACATGACTATATGTATCTGGAACTCGTAACCGTCCTGATACATTCAAAATGTCGGAGTCCTCTCAATGCACCCGCCCCACAGACACATCCAAATGCATGTGGAATCATTTAAATAGTGGAGCAAGGCCCAATAGCACGAACACAGAAACCTGTGGATGCAGCAAGGACCGGAGCACACTGTCACTTCATATGGAAAGCTAGGCAGACTCTAGCAGACTGTAGGTTCACATGACCCTTAAACTGCCAGTACACTTCCCCAGCTTTGCAAGATTTCTTCATGGCTCTTTCCTGAAGTTTTTGAGGCTCGGGGCTACCGGACCACAATGGGTGGTGGTGCCAGCCGAGAAACAAAAAGTGCGCCGCTGGCGGTTCGGCAAAGCTTGGCATGCATTGCCACGCCGCCAGGCCCGGGTGCACTAGTGGTTGAAACCGTTAGTCTGTTTCCCACCTACTTGCACGCCCGGAAGCTTTTTCACCATGAATGGATTCGACCAGCCTGACCGTGTGCACTCAGACTCGTATATCCATGAAACGGCCGGTAGGTGAACTGGTGCGCCTTGCTCACACACACTTCTGGGGAGCCACAAGGCAAATGTCTGTCATCACCAGAAAACACACAAAGACACAGCATCTGAAACACAGTAGTCCCCGTAATAGTGTTGCAGGCACTTCTAACAAACAGGCACTGACTATTGGCACATTGTTAAGGTGCTCCACTTGGATGCTAACGAGCACAGAGGACTAAACAAACAGGCAATGTGAATGTGAATGTTTGGGTGTTTGCTGGATGACTAAATCCCCACGATGGTAATCGTGGCAAGTGGCATGGAGAACCACAATAAGGAAACATACCAAGAAGAATACAACTTCCACGTCATATGGTTAGACCGAAGCAGACGTCTATCCCAAACATACGAAAGCTAAGAACACCACCACCGAAGCAAAAGGACTACCGTGTTCACCCGAATAGAACGCCCTGTCATTATCGCTGCATCTGGACTGAAAGTTGTGACAAATACAGCTATAACGACCAGCATTCTATTCGGGTGAAGACGGTAGTGCCTGGGGGCGCTAAACCACAAGGTAGCGGGAAATGGCTGACAGGAGTGAGCGAAAAGCAGCAAAACAAAATTTCAAAAAAGAAAGCAGCAAGGCAAAGACGACGGGACTGCTAACCAACCAGGCAAGCAGCTTCATGATAAGAAGATAAAAGATAAAAGGTGGCGAGAGCAAAAGGGCAGTAAAGCCAACGCACAGTGAAGAGAAGGGCGACGAGCATTGAATGACAAGCGACTGCAGGGCACATAGGCTGGAGGGCACGGGCGAGGCAGGTGGGCAAACAAACAGCACAAGTCTACCAGACCAACAACAACGAGGGAAAAGGCACAAAGTTTAGGTTCCAAACGGAGACCAGAACAACGAGGGAAAAAGGCACAAAGTTTAAGTGCCAAATGGAGACCAGAATAGTAAAATCAAAGACCGGAAAAAGTAAAACTGATGATGAAAGATTGTTTCGTCAGAGTTGCACTGACTCATCAGTAAGCTGAACCCTCGACAATCTGCGGAATCCCTGCATAATTGAGGGTTAGGATCATGAACCCTTTGATCCTTGCTGAAGGTAGCGTGTAGGTAAGCGGAACACAGCAGCAGGCAAAAACTCAGCGAAGCACCAGGCAACACCGCCGGAGCAACCCAACTGCACTACGCCAAAAACTAACTGCACGGACGACACAGCAAGTGGACAAGCAGCATGGCAGCAGCGCAGCGAAGCACAAGGCAACACCAACAAAGCAGCCACACTACACGACACAAGCAAAGAACGTGAAAGGCAAGGCATGCGGATGTGCAGCAAGCCAGAATTGTTGTGAAGCACAAGGCAACACCAGCAACACCGCCACACCACGCAGCGAACACAGCAGTTGCAAAGAACGACACATGCGAAGCAACGGGGGTGGGAGCAAGGCAGCGGTGCAGCGCAGACAAGGCAGTATATGCATCCAACACAGAGCAAAGCGGCACATCACCTACTCACATCACAAGTGAACCCCACAGACTATTGGTTCCCGCCACCCGCTGAGCCAGGGAGTCACTCTGACAGACACCTGTCATCACCCTTAGACCATATGCACCCCACAGACACGACAAACAGAGCTGCCCCCTTAATAGTGTTACAGGTGGTCCAAACGAGGAATGGATGACTATTCGACACTGCTTACGGGGACTATTCGACACTAGTCTTACTGTTTGACACTGCTGACAGGCGCTCAGTTGGACCCACAGAAAGTAAGAAAAAAAAAACAAAGGGACAAAGACATACATAAAACTGGTTGCGTGTGACCACAGCCGCCTAACTCAGTTGGTTGAGCACGTAAGTGGTACACAGGAGGTCGTGGGTTCGATTCCATGTCATCCGTTCAATTCCCAACGACCCCCTGTGTGGCATACTTCGGGTTCACTGGCTGAGAAAGTCGGCTCGTCCTTCCTGGCTGGTTGTGGAAGTTGACCAGCTTTCCAGCCTGCGCCAGGTGTTAGAAGCTTGGGTTCTGCTCTCCTGCACAGAGCAGAGTTAGGTAGGCGTAGACCCATAACCTTTGGATAACTTAGATCCGATTTGTACGTTTAAGGCTGGTTCTTGTAGTTCTTGGTTGGAAGACTTCCTTAGGGGGTAGTGTCGTTGGCCTTCCCTTGGCCCTAGACCTAGGACCTTCTGGTTGTGCGTGTGTTTGTGTGTGTGTGTGTGTGTGTGTGTGTGTGAGAGAGAGAGAGAGAGAGAGAGNTGTCTATCTCATTTTTTTTCTCTCCTTTCTCTCTTTCGCTCTCTCTCTCTCTTTCGCCTGTCTCTTATACACATCTAGATGTGTATAAGAGACAGCCCAACCCCTGCCCGCCCGAGAACCCCCAATTCCCCAGTCCCCGATGCAGCACGATTCCCTCCGCCCCAACGTTCCCACCCTAACCCTCACCCCCCTCCGCAAACTCGAGTGTCTCCACCTTCTTCCTCCTCTAAGCCTCCTCATCCTCCCCCTCCTTTCCCGTTTGATACCCCCTCCTACCAACCTCCCCCACCTCCCTCCAGACCCCAAACCCGGGCGCATGCCAATGCTGCAGGACATTCTAACGCTCGCTTGAATGAGGAGGCCCGTCACCCGGGTGGAAGTTCTGATAACACCCCCGCCTCCGAGAGGTCTACAGGCAGACTTGCTGAGGTTTTTGCATCTGTTGTCGGGCATGCTAGGTGAATGTCCGGTTCTTTCTCTGCGGTGCGCTCTGCCAATCTTGGATTTGATCGTGTGCGTGAGGGTAAGAAAGTTGTTGTTGCTTCTGCTGGAAAGGAAAGGCGTGCGCAGTACCTAGCTGATATGAAGAAGGAACTAATGAAGGAGTACAAAGCGGACCTTGAGGTCCTGTGCAGGAAGGACAACATCAAGTACGTTAACAAGAAACAGGTCGTTAACGAATTGGTTGAACTTCGGGCCCAAGAGGCGTACGGCGAGAAAGATGACGACCAGGATGAGGATCTGCTCAATGCCGACGCTACTGAATCGCAAGAGGAGAATCCGTCCTGATGTCTTATTGGGACACGGGGTGGTTATGGGATGCTGCAATTAGCCTTCGCACGACGAGAAAAGCCGCTGGTCTGAAAGGGTCAGACAGTGTTCGTCGGGAGATGGTTATGCGATTTGTCATACTCATGCTGGTTGCTGTAGGGGCTATTAGTTGGGGTAAGGAGTTTGTTGACTACTGGTTATACTCGGTGCATTCTGGACATGACATCTGTGCTGACGAAGGACGATGTGTTTATGTTTTTCTCTCGCCTTGGTCTAAAGCCTCGTATATTGGGTCCACAGGCCGGGGCATTACTGTCCGTTGGAAAGAGCATGTTCGTTTAGCCTAGTCTAATGTTCGGGGCCGGAATCATAAGCTAAAACGTTGGTTGGAAAGAAGAGGATGGGAGTCATACATTGCTATTCCTCTATCCTTCCTTCTGAGGAGGATCTTTGCCTCACTGAATCCTCCCTCATCTCTAAGCATTCCCCTAGCCTAAACTCAATCCTCCCCGGAAGAAGGAAGCCTTGTAGAAGGAAAGGCCGTAGAGAGAGACAGTCCTTTTTTAGAAGAACTGGGAAGACATTCTCCTCCCCCTACCGGGACAACAAGGTGATCGAATGGACTTTGTCTGAGGGTTCGTCATACCTTAAGCCTGACGCGCTATGCACTGTCTCCCTCTTAAAATTTTTGAAATCTTGTGCCAATCACGGCACTAGCTTTGCTGCTCTTACGTCTAGCGGGGGAAGCTTCTTTGTGGATGGCTGGGGTAGATTATGTAAACTTTTCAGCTTGACTATCATTGATAATGGGCACAATCGCGTTCTGCTTAAGCACGCAAGGGAAGAGCTTTGTAAAGGTGGCAGGTTTACTCTGGTACAGATCCGTCACTGTAAAAGTTTAAGAAGTACTTGAAAGCTTGTTTTGGTCTCCCTGCTCCAAGTCCCCTATACTAAGCCTTTGCTCTCCCTCTTTGATGGTTTTGCGCTTGTTAAGCTGTTTCATGTGATTGATTCCATCTCTTCAGACCGCTCTCAGCCTCTCAAGTCGTTCTCCACAGTATTGTCGATACAGTGCTAAGAAGGAAAGCGGGTTTTAACTGCACTGCCCCCGTGGTTATTCGAACCCGGTACAGCAGGGAGATCACCAAGTATAAGGTTGTAGAAATAGTAAAAAAAGAAATTCGACGCAGGTGCCAGCCTGAGTTACTGGCTGAGTTTGTCATCGCACGCATGAGATTTGTCTGGACTAAGAATAAGAGTGTCGGGAAAATTATCCATAACCACCGTCAGTCTGCTATTATCTCCTCAGAATTTTGCTCTTGTGCTGACTCCCCTCGCGACCTCAGTAGGAATAAGCACGAACATGTGGAGGTTCGGTTCTAGAAGATTGTTGGCTTACCTAGTGTGCTCCGAAACTCTTGCAATATTCTTCCTCCTTCTAAGCCGACCACTCTTTCCCATGTCATGTATGCTATCAGGGATGGACTGAACAAACTCCCCTGTGGTAGAATGTGCAGTTATCAGGAATTAGTTGAATGTCTGGTCCATAATGTTGAGTCGGTAGCCTCAGATGAGTTGGTTCTCAAAGATTGGCATGACAAACTGGATGGTTTGGTTGTGGCCTCGATCGATCACAATATCGGAGACTCTCTGGTCTGCTGCATGAGCGTTTATCACAATGCTTTGGCTAATATGTATTGGAGGAACGAAGGCTTTCAGATCATTCCCTTGCAAGAGGGCGACATTCTGGATACCTGCAAACGCAGGTTTGACAGGATTAACAGAGGAGCTATCGCACCTTGGAACCCGAAAGGTAAATTGGGTCGCTGTTATGGCATTCCTAAACATAAGGACATTACTCGCTGGCGGCCTATTTCTCCTTCCTTCTCTGAACCCTGTGTCCGAGCTTGTAGATTGGTCTCGAGGGTTGTCAGCTTCATGTTGTGGAATCTTCCACGTGCTTCCAACTTTAATCTTAAAGCTACTTATATGTTGAGGTCCAGGATCTCATCTCTTGACCGCCAGGCATGTAGAATGAAGAAAGGGTCTTTTTTCTCGGCTAGCTATGACATCAAGGAGATGTTCACTAAGCTACCACACCACTCTATTGTAAAAGCGGTAGACTGGATCTGTTATTATTTTTCTAGGCTTGGTATGAAGAAGGTGAGGGTATACAGGCTTGGGAAGGGAGCAACCTTTAGCAAAAGTGTAGGTAAAAAGGGGTGGGTGTCTTTGAAATTTTCACATATTATGATTTTGTTAAGTTTGATCTCGAGCACACATTTTCGTCTGTCTCCACCTATATTGTTCAACAAATTGTCGGTATCCCTATGGGCAAGTGTTCTAGCCCTGCCTTGACATGCTTACTCTGCTCATTCAATGAGATTATCTTTCTCAGTCCTGTTGGGACAGACTCTCGCTACATTACTGGGCTAAGGCTTGTAGATGATGTTAGCCTCTTCATCCTTCTCCCTGGGAAATGCAAAGACAGTGAGGCAAAGGTTGCCCGACTCTTCAAAGCATTTGAGCAAGCCTACGATGATAATCTTACCCTGGTGCGTACCGATGACGGCAATGGCAACTGGGATTTTTTTTTTTTTTTGGTGTTCCATCTCTTGCAAGCTACAACCTCCTCGAGTTCGGAGTACCGCCATCACGAAAACCAAGACTGCATCTGGAGTGAGGATCTTATCCAAATCATTTCTACCCAAGACTATTCCTCTTATGGTCCTGCTTGCCTAAAGAAGGCAGTCATCAAATGTCACTTGAATCGCATCTACTCCCACTCCTAAGAACATAGAAGAGTGGGAGTCACGTTGCTTGCTCTTCGACGGGAGCTACGTTTAAAAAAGTACCCTCTGCAGGATTTTTCCAAGGCATTATATGAAGTTTCCTCGAAATTCGAGGGCTGTTGGGACCCCCTGATTGAGATTATTTCTATTGGACTYGATACCCCGCCTGAACTKAGTCRGRCCCACACTTCTCATAAGCGCCCATTRTTGCTCTCTCCGCTGGCTCAGCTAACGTATYGRACTCGATACCCCGCCCGAACTTTGTCGGGCCTGCAGTTCTCATAAGCGCCCACTTTGCTTTCTCCGCTGGCTCAGCTAACGTATCAGTACGTCGATGCTCTCCGTATCGCTCCATATTTGTCAGAATTTTGTYACTTCTCCTTTCCCCCGTACACTTTCCCTTTTGCCCTTTCCCTTATCGGCGYSCATCTCTACTTTCGACTCTCCCTGTACCTGCTCCCTTTCGCCTCCGAAGACCTGATCCCCACCCGCTCTCTCTGACTTCGCACCTTGTCTTCTTCCCTCTCCGCGATCCTCRTTCCTCCCCTCTTCTTCCTCTGAGTCATTTCTCCCTTTTTCRTCCMTGTGCACATACTACCGASCTCCGCCTTCYCGACCTATCCTTGCTCTCTCCACCCACCCCCACAAGCACGGATCTAGTCGACTGATCCTTTCTGTCCTACCCCCTGCGGATCTTTGTACTGATCGATATGGTTGATGCGCGACGATGTGGCTATGAGCTGCTTCCTTGGGCTTCTGTTGCACAATCGGCAGGCGTGAATGCACCTTGGCCAAGTACCATGGCTCTGTATCGTAAAGTCCCATGGAGATTAGTGGTACCATGGGTACTTCCTTGATGGGGCATCTGAGTTCCTTTGATGAAGCGTATCTTTCCTACTTAATCAGGTATTGTCTCCTTTCCGACAAGCGGTTCTTCAAGTCCCCTGAGGATGGCTGTCCGCGGAAACGGCCGAAACGCGGCGTAGGGACGTCCGCGACAGGAACCTTGTGTTTTCATGTCCATTTTTTTGAAAAGGTTTCCTGTTTTGTTGCGCTTAAGGATCTTTGTGTCTATCTCGTTTTTTTCTCTCCTTCTCTCTTTCGCTCTCTCTCTCTCTTTCGCTCTCTCTCTCTCTCTCTCGCTTGCTCTCTGTTCATTCTCTCTCTCTCTTCTTCGCGTCTCTTCTTTCCGATTATTTTTCTTCCCCTCTCGTGGATTGGGTTCAATTGGCCTTGTGCTGCGCCTGTCTATCAGACTTATACGTCTGCCTGTGATTGATATGAGTACTTGCCATGCATGTTCCTCACCAATCACTGAATAACTATTTAACCACTGCGTCTTATCGTAGTATGGTGGAATTGCCTTCCAGACCGAGCTTTGTTGATGCAACCCTCTCCTGACTCCGCCCCCTTCCACCTGATCTCACCACCACAACCCCCCTCGCCCGTTCACTGATCTCGCTGCCTACGTGGTACCTGTTCCTAAGGTTCGTTCTCCCCGGTATTGATCTTGCGTTTTGCATACTTCGTGGGGTGCGTTAATGATGTTTTTTTTTCTTTTTTTTTTCTTTTGACTTCGCGCTTTCTTTGTATGCGTCTTACGATCTCCACATTTTTTTGCTGTTTGTTTTTGTCATACTGCGTGCATCGATTGACCTCGTTCTTTCTCTTTGATCTCTTAAGTGGCGTCGCCCTTCTTTTTGATGAACGGGCATGAATGAAATGATGTTATTTCACAAACTCCTATCGTAAGTATACGGCTCTTCAATCCTTGCCGTTTGCTCTACTTCCCTGTGGTTTTCTCTGTGGTTCTTTCCTTCTGACCGTGTTCCGATTGGTCTCTCGTACGTCTAACTTATTTTGGGTTCCTTTTTCTTGACTCTGGTTTTACGAGTTGCAATTCACGGGAAGGATGAGCGACAACCAGACTCCGTATGGCTGCTGCCACCATTGCAAGCAGTATGGTCACTTTATCGCTCGTGTATCTTGGAAGAGGGGATGGCATCATCGCTGGGACTCCCCTCGAAAGACAGCCGACTTCGAACCATCTGTACGCTCCCAGCGCTCCACCATTGCCTTCAAGCACGAGTATTGTACCAGTTCCCAGTGTTGCTGCACCGACTCCAAGATCCAGGTCGTCATCCCCATCTCCGTTGGCTTCAAACGCTATTGTCCCATTCCAACTCAGGCCGGTCAGCCAGTACAGCGGTGGTGGGGGTTGGAATTCTCAACCAAGGAATCCGGGGAATGGTGAGATTGCGGCATTGCTAAGGGAGCTGGTGAATAGTGATAGGGAGAAGAGGGAGAGGAAGAGGGAAGAGGAAGATCGGAACGCTAGGGAGGAGCAGATCGCTAAAGCTAAGGAGGAGGAGACGGCGAGGCTGGAATCTGAAGAGAAGAAGGAGAAGGATAGAGAAACGCGCATGGGTAAGATGTTTGCCGAACAGATCGCGACATTGGAAAAGAAGACGGAAGAGGATGCTGGTTTCAAGAGAGATCCAGCGAAAGGTAAAGATAAGGATAGGTCGAATGATAGTGATGCCAAGACTAAGGACGGGACTTGTAAGATTGGTGACGTTGACTCTAAGAAACGTGGGCAAGACGCTCTCCAAGGTGGATCCCCAGTCGCACCTGATGCCGACAGGCAGAAGACACATGCTGAGGTGGTTATGGTACCACTCGATGTTGGGCTTCTATTCATGAACCTCAATACTTTCCAACGGAACCAGGAGGCTATGCTCCAACGCATGACTGATGCNTGTCTATCTCATTTTTTTTCTCTCCTTTCTCTCTTTCGCTCTCTCTCTCTCTTTCGCCTGTCTCTTATACACATCTAGATGTGTATAAGAGACAGCCCAACCCCTGCCCGCCCGAGAACCCCCAATTCCCCAGTCCCCGATGCAGCACGATTCCCTCCGCCCCAACGTTCCCACCCTAACCCTCACCCCCCTCCGCAAACTCGAGTGTCTCCACCTTCTTCCTCCTCTAAGCCTCCTCATCCTCCCCCTCCTTTCCCGTTTGATACCCCCTCCTACCAACCTCCCCCACCTCCCTCCAGACCCCAAACCCGGGCGCATGCCAATGCTGCAGGACATTCTAACGCTCGCTTGAATGAGGAGGCCCGTCACCCGGGTGGAAGTTCTGATAACACCCCCGCCTCCGAGAGGTCTACAGGCAGACTTGCTGAGGTTTTTGCATCTGTTGTCGGGCATGCTAGGTGAATGTCCGGTTCTTTCTCTGCGGTGCGCTCTGCCAATCTTGGATTTGATCGTGTGCGTGAGGGTAAGAAAGTTGTTGTTGCTTCTGCTGGAAAGGAAAGGCGTGCGCAGTACCTAGCTGATATGAAGAAGGAACTAATGAAGGAGTACAAAGCGGACCTTGAGGTCCTGTGCAGGAAGGACAACATCAAGTACGTTAACAAGAAACAGGTCGTTAACGAATTGGTTGAACTTCGGGCCCAAGAGGCGTACGGCGAGAAAGATGACGACCAGGATGAGGATCTGCTCAATGCCGACGCTACTGAATCGCAAGAGGAGAATCCGTCCTGATGTCTTATTGGGACACGGGGTGGTTATGGGATGCTGCAATTAGCCTTCGCACGACGAGAAAAGCCGCTGGTCTGAAAGGGTCAGACAGTGTTCGTCGGGAGATGGTTATGCGATTTGTCATACTCATGCTGGTTGCTGTAGGGGCTATTAGTTGGGGTAAGGAGTTTGTTGACTACTGGTTATACTCGGTGCATTCTGGACATGACATCTGTGCTGACGAAGGACGATGTGTTTATGTTTTTCTCTCGCCTTGGTCTAAAGCCTCGTATATTGGGTCCACAGGCCGGGGCATTACTGTCCGTTGGAAAGAGCATGTTCGTTTAGCCTAGTCTAATGTTCGGGGCCGGAATCATAAGCTAAAACGTTGGTTGGAAAGAAGAGGATGGGAGTCATACATTGCTATTCCTCTATCCTTCCTTCTGAGGAGGATCTTTGCCTCACTGAATCCTCCCTCATCTCTAAGCATTCCCCTAGCCTAAACTCAATCCTCCCCGGAAGAAGGAAGCCTTGTAGAAGGAAAGGCCGTAGAGAGAGACAGTCCTTTTTTAGAAGAACTGGGAAGACATTCTCCTCCCCCTACCGGGACAACAAGGTGATCGAATGGACTTTGTCTGAGGGTTCGTCATACCTTAAGCCTGACGCGCTATGCACTGTCTCCCTCTTAAAATTTTTGAAATCTTGTGCCAATCACGGCACTAGCTTTGCTGCTCTTACGTCTAGCGGGGGAAGCTTCTTTGTGGATGGCTGGGGTAGATTATGTAAACTTTTCAGCTTGACTATCATTGATAATGGGCACAATCGCGTTCTGCTTAAGCACGCAAGGGAAGAGCTTTGTAAAGGTGGCAGGTTTACTCTGGTACAGATCCGTCACTGTAAAAGTTTAAGAAGTACTTGAAAGCTTGTTTTGGTCTCCCTGCTCCAAGTCCCCTATACTAAGCCTTTGCTCTCCCTCTTTGATGGTTTTGCGCTTGTTAAGCTGTTTCATGTGATTGATTCCATCTCTTCAGACCGCTCTCAGCCTCTCAAGTCGTTCTCCACAGTATTGTCGATACAGTGCTAAGAAGGAAAGCGGGTTTTAACTGCACTGCCCCCGTGGTTATTCGAACCCGGTACAGCAGGGAGATCACCAAGTATAAGGTTGTAGAAATAGTAAAAAAAGAAATTCGACGCAGGTGCCAGCCTGAGTTACTGGCTGAGTTTGTCATCGCACGCATGAGATTTGTCTGGACTAAGAATAAGAGTGTCGGGAAAATTATCCATAACCACCGTCAGTCTGCTATTATCTCCTCAGAATTTTGCTCTTGTGCTGACTCCCCTCGCGACCTCAGTAGGAATAAGCACGAACATGTGGAGGTTCGGTTCTAGAAGATTGTTGGCTTACCTAGTGTGCTCCGAAACTCTTGCAATATTCTTCCTCCTTCTAAGCCGACCACTCTTTCCCATGTCATGTATGCTATCAGGGATGGACTGAACAAACTCCCCTGTGGTAGAATGTGCAGTTATCAGGAATTAGTTGAATGTCTGGTCCATAATGTTGAGTCGGTAGCCTCAGATGAGTTGGTTCTCAAAGATTGGCATGACAAACTGGATGGTTTGGTTGTGGCCTCGATCGATCACAATATCGGAGACTCTCTGGTCTGCTGCATGAGCGTTTATCACAATGCTTTGGCTAATATGTATTGGAGGAACGAAGGCTTTCAGATCATTCCCTTGCAAGAGGGCGACATTCTGGATACCTGCAAACGCAGGTTTGACAGGATTAACAGAGGAGCTATCGCACCTTGGAACCCGAAAGGTAAATTGGGTCGCTGTTATGGCATTCCTAAACATAAGGACATTACTCGCTGGCGGCCTATTTCTCCTTCCTTCTCTGAACCCTGTGTCCGAGCTTGTAGATTGGTCTCGAGGGTTGTCAGCTTCATGTTGTGGAATCTTCCACGTGCTTCCAACTTTAATCTTAAAGCTACTTATATGTTGAGGTCCAGGATCTCATCTCTTGACCGCCAGGCATGTAGAATGAAGAAAGGGTCTTTTTTCTCGGCTAGCTATGACATCAAGGAGATGTTCACTAAGCTACCACACCACTCTATTGTAAAAGCGGTAGACTGGATCTGTTATTATTTTTCTAGGCTTGGTATGAAGAAGGTGAGGGTATACAGGCTTGGGAAGGGAGCAACCTTTAGCAAAAGTGTAGGTAAAAAGGGGTGGGTGTCTTTGAAATTTTCACATATTATGATTTTGTTAAGTTTGATCTCGAGCACACATTTTCGTCTGTCTCCACCTATATTGTTCAACAAATTGTCGGTATCCCTATGGGCAAGTGTTCTAGCCCTGCCTTGACATGCTTACTCTGCTCATTCAATGAGATTATCTTTCTCAGTCCTGTTGGGACAGACTCTCGCTACATTACTGGGCTAAGGCTTGTAGATGATGTTAGCCTCTTCATCCTTCTCCCTGGGAAATGCAAAGACAGTGAGGCAAAGGTTGCCCGACTCTTCAAAGCATTTGAGCAAGCCTACGATGATAATCTTACCCTGGTGCGTACCGATGACGGCAATGGCAACTGGGATTTTTTTTTTTTTTTGGTGTTCCATCTCTTGCAAGCTACAACCTCCTCGAGTTCGGAGTACCGCCATCACGAAAACCAAGACTGCATCTGGAGTGAGGATCTTATCCAAATCATTTCTACCCAAGACTATTCCTCTTATGGTCCTGCTTGCCTAAAGAAGGCAGTCATCAAATGTCACTTGAATCGCATCTACTCCCACTCCTAAGAACATAGAAGAGTGGGAGTCACGTTGCTTGCTCTTCGACGGGAGCTACGTTTAAAAAAGTACCCTCTGCAGGATTTTTCCAAGGCATTATATGAAGTTTCCTCGAAATTCGAGGGCTGTTGGGACCCCCTGATTGAGATTATTTCTATTGGACTYGATACCCCGCCTGAACTKAGTCRGRCCCACACTTCTCATAAGCGCCCATTRTTGCTCTCTCCGCTGGCTCAGCTAACGTATYGRACTCGATACCCCGCCCGAACTTTGTCGGGCCTGCAGTTCTCATAAGCGCCCACTTTGCTTTCTCCGCTGGCTCAGCTAACGTATCAGTACGTCGATGCTCTCCGTATCGCTCCATATTTGTCAGAATTTTGTYACTTCTCCTTTCCCCCGTACACTTTCCCTTTTGCCCTTTCCCTTATCGGCGYSCATCTCTACTTTCGACTCTCCCTGTACCTGCTCCCTTTCGCCTCCGAAGACCTGATCCCCACCCGCTCTCTCTGACTTCGCACCTTGTCTTCTTCCCTCTCCGCGATCCTCRTTCCTCCCCTCTTCTTCCTCTGAGTCATTTCTCCCTTTTTCRTCCMTGTGCACATACTACCGASCTCCGCCTTCYCGACCTATCCTTGCTCTCTCCACCCACCCCCACAAGCACGGATCTAGTCGACTGATCCTTTCTGTCCTACCCCCTGCGGATCTTTGTACTGATCGATATGGTTGATGCGCGACGATGTGGCTATGAGCTGCTTCCTTGGGCTTCTGTTGCACAATCGGCAGGCGTGAATGCACCTTGGCCAAGTACCATGGCTCTGTATCGTAAAGTCCCATGGAGATTAGTGGTACCATGGGTACTTCCTTGATGGGGCATCTGAGTTCCTTTGATGAAGCGTATCTTTCCTACTTAATCAGGTATTGTCTCCTTTCCGACAAGCGGTTCTTCAAGTCCCCTGAGGATGGCTGTCCGCGGAAACGGCCGAAACGCGGCGTAGGGACGTCCGCGACAGGAACCTTGTGTTTTCATGTCCATTTTTTTGAAAAGGTTTCCTGTTTTGTTGCGCTTAAGGATCTTTGTGTCTATCTCGTTTTTTTCTCTCCTTCTCTCTTTCGCTCTCTCTCTCTCTTTCGCTCTCTCTCTCTCTCTCTCGCTTGCTCTCTGTTCATTCTCTCTCTCTCTTCTTCGCGTCTCTTCTTTCCGATTATTTTTCTTCCCCTCTCGTGGATTGGGTTCAATTGGCCTTGTGCTGCGCCTGTCTATCAGACTTATACGTCTGCCTGTGATTGATACGAGTACTTGCCATGCATATTCCTCACCAATCAATAACTGGCCAATAGACAGGTCAACACTCGAACAAAGAGGGCTAGCCCTACCTTGGTGCAGATTCTGCACCAACGCATTCCCTTCTAGGAAAAGACCAGAAACAATAGAACACATATTTCTTCAATGCCCCGGAGCAGTTTGGCTCTGGCGATGGTGGGACAGGATCTGGGGCCAGCTCGAAACTGGAGCTCCTTGGCGATGGGATTGGAGAGCCCTGATGTTGGAGGTATGGCCTGCAGAACAACCAGGCGATTTCACTTTCAATTTGTTCAAACTAGGACGCAGAGCACTACTATGGGCACTGTGGAAACGCCGCTGCACCTATGAGATGGAAGGTGCGAGGCTGGAGGGACTGAAAGTTACGGAAAACATTCAGCAACAAATCCAGACAAACATAACAACACGGTGGGAAGAACTTGAAGCACAAATATGTCACTTGCACACACAAAGTGAGATAAAGCATAGAATACAAGAATTTTGCAAAGGCTGGCTTGGGGGGGAATCAGGGGAGAAGATAGGAAAGGTGGAATGGAGTGGGGAAGGAAGACGACAAGGGAGGATGCAGGACAACAAGTACCGACTCATCTTCCATGACTGGACCAAGCTCGACGGCTCAATCCCAATGCGACCGAGTGATGAATTCCCGGACTTCTTCCCCCCCCCGGCAAACAGCCTAGTAGGAATAGATTGGTACAGGGGAGAAAAATGGGAAGGAACGGGTGCTTAGGGGTCACGCAACAAATAAATGAGGTGGTAGATTTTCTTGTATAAAAGGTGGTTGGGAGGCAGTTGATATTTGGCGTCTGATACAAGGCGAAGAGGTTTCCGCGTTTCGCATCAGCCTGCATAATCGATAGTTCTGTCTGATAGATAAGACATATACAGGAAGTTGGAGATATCAACACATCTCTGTATAGGGATGTTGGACCTGTTTTCCAACAGATACATTCGCACTATTCAACAGATACCTTCAAAGATAAGGGGAGCGAGGAACTAGTGTGTAGCAGCAGGTATCTGGCGCCGGGTTCAGGGTGAAGAGGTTCCCCCGTCCTTTTTTTCAATGTCCTGCTCAGTCAATCCCCTGGACTCCAGGGTAATCAATGCTGGCAGGAACCTCCTACATCGTTTCTCTGATGTACTCTAATTTCAGTCTGTATATGGGACGCTGGACCCGTTTTCCAGCAGGTGATGCTCCCCACCAATCGATGGAGCCTCTCCCCAGGTGCTAGTGGTGTCTGCTCTTATCAGCACCACTAACACTCGTGGGGGTGTTTTTT